ATTTTGTAAATGTAAACAGTCAACTATAGTGGTGGTATCTCCTACTCTGGCTTACTGGTCTTCAAGCTTGCTCAGGGAAAAAGCATAAATTTGATTACAACTGATAATTGTTCTCTTTTGATTTGCGGCAACCGTAAGCTGTTCTCTTTTCTCCAGCGACTAGTGAAGGACTCAGTGAGTGATCGTGATATTGTTAGAATACTGAACAACCCCGTTTATTTTTCTAAGGTAAGAAACCACAAATTATTTTTTTTTATTCACAATTAGTTTGGGACACCCGTCCGACAAGTGAAAAAAAAATTTTTGATTCATGCCCAGGATCTTTTATTTCATCCCTTAGGGGGAAACCGTTGGCAATTTTTTATTTGAGGCTGGATATAGGCTAGACTGTGAGTGCTCTCAATTTCGACGACTATATCCAATCTCTCTTAAGAAGCGCCCAGTTAACATTGAAGTGAGAGGTTCAACCCGTTTTTATTTTTTTTTATTTATTACTTTTGGGAAAAACCGGCCCGTTATTTTCTTTTTCGGAGGTTCGATCCGTCCCCGGGCTACGAGTGGGCTCTGTCTCGACGGCGTTATCTAATTTTCCAAAAAGACGTCTAAATTAATTTTCGCGCCTCCCTTCTCTTCCCTTTTATTTTATTTATTCATTTAATTATATTGGAATCATCCCATTTTCCGTCATCAACTAATTATTGAACGAAGCCCGACGTTTCCTATCGTAACTAATTCACACACCGTCTTGATCGGCTTTGGGAAATCTCAAAATAAGTATTACTTTGGCCAACGCATATTTCGTCCAAACGCCCGGCTAGATATTTTAATTCTCGTTCGATGAAATTGTAGCGTCGATCGGTCGGAATTAAGATACAGGAGGGTTCCGAAAACTTTGTTCAATTTTATAGTAGGTTTTTCCTTTTCTGAACTTACATTGTAGATGGGTTAACTGTTTTCTTTTATTTTTTTTAACTTCTCAGTTGGTCAACCGTTTAGTTAAAAATTAATTACTCCGTCTAATTAATTACCGTTTTTTTTTTATTATTTTGACCAGAATATTTAATTTAAATTTGTGTATTTTGGAAATATACTTTCTTTATACCGTATTGTAAATAATTTCCGATTTAAATATTTTCCCGTACTAGTAAAAGGTAATACGAACTTTAATTTCATTTATTTTCTTTTATTTTATTATCGTCATATTTAATTAATTTATTTTTTTAAATTAATTTTCCGTATACAGGGAGTTTCATAATTCCCGGACCGATTAGCCTCCTGTTCTATCGAACCGCAATTATTTCCCTATAGTTTTGTTTTTAGTTTTTAACTGTAATAATTTATTTTTAAAATTAATTTTCCGTATACAGTGAGGTTCACAATTTCCGGACCGATTAGCCTCCTGTGCTATCGAACCGCAATTATTTCCCTATAGTTTTTTTTTTTTTTTTAGTTTTCAATGGTAATAATTTATTTTTAATAAATTTTCCGAATACAGGGAACCATGAATATTTTGTTCATTTTATTTAATTTTCCGTTTACAGCCGTGCCGAAACCGTGCACTACCACCGATGTATTATTTTCTGTAAATATATATTTTATTATCTATTCCTGCGTTTCTCTTATTGCTGGTTCTTAACCGTTCTCTTTCAGGGTACCATAGGGTACGAGGAGTAAAGAAGATAAGTGTTTTATTTTTATTTATTCTAGTTTAGTGGCTACCTAGTTAGCAGTGACCGCCTGGAAGTATTTTTTTTAACTCCTTGAGTACACTGGTGTACTACAGGGTCGCAGAGCAAACTGTGATACCAAAACTGGCGCCTGAGCAAACCCTATTCGGGAATCACCATCATAGCGCCACACAGACTCGCTGATTCAGTGTAGGTGAACCAGAAGCCTGTCACACTACTTAACCCCCATTTTCAAACAGATTTATTTCAGAATCAATAGGATTCATCTCCTTATTAAGCTTGTTTTTTGTTTCTGAATTAGGATTTTTTCAATATTTCAACCCCTTTTTTGTTCAGAATCAATAGGCTTCGTTTCCTTATAAAGCTCGATTTTTACTAAAAATTTCATGTCGATATCGCTATTGGATTTTAATTTATATATTTTTTTAATCAGATTTTTTTGAATCAATAGGCTTTGTCCACTTATATTGCTTGATTTCTGCTAAAAATTTCAAGTTGATATTATTTTTCATTTCTGAGTTTTTTTGAATATTTCAAACCCCATTTTGATTAAGATTTTTTTCAGGATCAGTAGACTTCATCTCCTTATAGAGCTTGATTGTTAGTAAAGATTTCAGGTTGATATCACTTTCCGTTTTTGATTTGATTTTTTTTTTAATTTCAACTCCTCATTTTTCTCAAAATTTTGTCAATCAAAGATTTTCTTTCCCTTATACAGCTTGATTTTTACTAAAAATTTCATGTTATCACTTTTCATTTTTGATTTTTTTTAATTTCAACTCCCCTTAACTCCCCATGTTTCTTAAAATTTTGTCAAAATCGTCCCCTTATAGGGCTTGATTTTTGATGAAATATTCAAGTTTATACCATTTTTCGTTTTTGACAAAAAGTTGATTAAAAGTTGATGAGAAGGATGTTGGTGCAAACATTTTTAAAATTGGATTGAGAACTGCCTAGTGTTCCAAACACTCTAGAAGGTGAGAGGAACGAGGAAAATGTTTTTGTAACCCATCATTTGTTATTTTATTTAATTTTCTAATGACCTCGTTTAAAATATAAATTATCTAGTTTCTTTATTTAAATTAGGTAACTAAATATTCTTATATTACTGATGATAGTTTATATTTTAGACCATGTACAAATATACAGTATGCGTCCAAAAGAAATGACCACCTGCAGCCAAAGTACATTACTGAAATTTTAGAAAAAAAAAATAAAAACTCAATTTTAGTCACCACCTTTTAAGGGTGATATCTCGGAAAGGGATGGGCTGAGGAAATTTTGTTGTAGGAAAGACCCATCTTAATTTCATACGGGCAATCACCTCCTGAATTAAGAAACACCCTTTATAAATAATCCGTTTCATTATTAATTTTTTAGGCGTTAAATGATTTTTTAAATAAGCAGTTTTTCTATTTAAATTTAAAAATATTTACTCCATATACAAATATTTTCCATTATTACATTATGATAGTCAAAAATATCTTAGGGATTCAAAACGTAACTTTTAATATTCATGAAATATTTTTAATTTTAATATCTGTCATAGGGAAACTTTGTGCCACTGAACACTTTTAATTAGAATGTCCAAAATTGAAACATGTATAAAATTCAGCAGATTCGACTGAAAGCTATATACCATAAGTAAACTGCGTGGTCCTTTGTAAAAAGCAAAATAATAAATTTTGTACCTTTTATTTCCTTATTATAAATAATAACTCTCAAACGATTGATCACTTACCTTAATGTAATAGTAAGTCTTCCTTCGGCTGAAATAATTATTCTTATATTTGTATTTGACTTTATTATATTGACTTTAAGAAAACTAAAAAGCTGATTAAAAGAAGCTGTTTTTGACATTCGAAAAGAGTTAAAAAATTTAGCATTGTCGCTTTTCAATTCATCTATAATAGTATAAAACTGCCCAAATAATAAACTTTCAGAAGTAACAGGGTTGGTCCAAAATCTTCTACGCTTTTTACGCAAACGTCATTTTACAAGAAGTGATAGAAGGAGTACTTCCTCGTCTGAACTCATAATGACGCTCGAATTTTAATTAATTTCCAACATGAGCCTACTATGGAATCGCGCTACTCGGTAGCTAACACGTCCACATGAACGACCTCTGGTCGCCACTCTGTGGCGACATCGAGTGGCCCGTACACGCCACTTAGCAGCGCGACTAAGTGGCTCGTTTGGACAGGCCCTTAGAGGTCCCCACTAACAAATTTTAAATGGGTAGCCTAAATAAAGGGTCATCATCCAAAGATATTGCGGCCCGTGTAACATAGATACGTATATGGCCCGAAGGAAAAAAGTGTTGAGTTAGACCCACTAAATATACGATTTTTGGAATTGCTTAACTGTTCTTTTTCTGCAGTTAACTTCGCAATGAAACGCCCTATATAATTTGTAACCAGAAATTTAGGATAACTTCCCATTAAAGACAATTTTCTAGAAGTTCTAAATACAGAATTTTGTAAAACTATATCAGGTTAAAGTTTTCTGATTGGCGTTGACTTAGCAGTAAAATTTTAACCTTGAATTAATTTTTAAGACTGAAATATTCTATATTTATTGGAAATTCATTTAAATATTCAAAATTCATCATATAAAATATAGGTTGGCGAGGTTAAAAAAAAACCAGTAATATTATATAAATGTATTCACAAGACGATACACATATTAATTTTGTTCTTAATTCTAAACTAAAAAAATCTATAACTAGCGAAAATACAAATGATTATTTTATATTTAATAAAACACATTTTGCTTTGAGTAGATACTTCTTTCCATGATATGAATTTATCAATAAGTATTGCTTTTGAATTTCAATGAGCTGTGTCAATGCCTAATATTACAAATGTATGAAAATTTGAGAGAAATATTCGAAGTACCCACTCAACTATGTACAAGTATTCAAAAGATTGCTTTTCAGTTTGGAATAATTACTAAAATACTAAAAAAATTTGTAAAAAATATATACATCTTTACTAATACTAAATGCTACACTCAAAATAGTATTCCATCGTTTCACAATAATTTAAATAAAATATTAAATTAGTAAAAAAAGTTTTTGGATTTATCAATTTTGCTAAAATACTTAAAATTGCCCTAAAAATTGTACTAAACTAAGAGCAATAATTTTATTAAAAATAAATTATCCTAATTAAAAAAAAATAATTCAGATATAATTAGAAATTTTAATAAAAATTCGGAAATTGATCAATTTTTAAAAAATAAATCCTAAATATGAGATCTATCTTACTAAGATTTTTTTTTGGATTTTTCATAAAATAGAAAACACAAAAGATGCTGGACATGATATACCAAAAATATAAAATTTAAATAATAAAAGTTGATTACTTGCTTCAAAATATTCAAATATTTATCATCATGTAACCAACTTTTTTAGATTTTTAGATCAAATTGTTGGAATGTTCTTTTTTTTTTCAAATATTAAAACATATTTAAAAATGAATACTATTTTTCGTGGGGCAAATGAGTGGTTGACTATTTGTTGTGTATATTCTGCTTCCTAGATTTTCATAATACTGTGAAATATTTATTGCACCTCACCTTCAGTTTAAGTCTATCGGGGCTAAAATTTTGAGAGGTAACGTTTAAAAAGATGAAATCTAGCAGAAAAATATAAACAAAAAATAATGTTCAATGATAATAAATAAATAAATAATGTGGCTAAAAGAAATTATAATACATAAAAAGTCTGGCTGCCATATAACTGGCCTGGAAGAAATTTATTGTAAAAAATAAATACATTTTTTTTAAAATCTATTTTAAATATTTGGCATCATTTACTTCATCATTAACATATTTATTCATTCGAAGAAGTGACTGGGTATACTAACACTATACAATAATTTATTTTCGTTTTAAGAACACTATAAATACTTTCTTTCTTTTTTTGTCAAAAATATATTTTTAAAACTAGAAAAGATAAATGCATACATTATCATTTACAACACGTAAGTATGGCCTCTCCATGAAAACGTCAATACTGAACCAATTAATATATCAGCTCTGACAACTTCACATAATTTAAATATTTCGGCTTACGATTCAAAAATATATATTTATCCGTTATAAACACAAATCTTAAAGGCATAATTACGGATTTTCTACAATACTCTATATCATATTTTTACAATCTAAAAATTGATTTTTTGGTGCCACCGTAAATAAATACCAAATCATAAATATCTTTTCAAATACTAAATTCAACACAACTTAACTTGCGTTTGAAATTTATCTACAGTGGCCGAGATATATCTAGAGCTCTAATAAGTTTTTTTTTTTGTAAGTCTACTGTGAAATACAAAAGTATACCTGAGTAACACGAAGAATGGTATATAGTTTGAATAGAAAAATATTATTTTACAGAGTGACAACGAAGCAATGTGTGTTTCTGAATATTATTTGTATATTGATATGATTATTTTAAATTTAACGTATTAACTCGATTATTGCTATTTTTTAAAAAAGAGGTAAAATATCGCATTGGGTAAACAGTGCTAAACATATTTTAGATTGTGAATGGGGAACCAACCATAGGCATATAGTGTGTTAAAAAGGTGGGCTTTTTTAATTTTTAATTCAAAATTTGTAAAACAGATAAAACTAAGACTTTGCATATGATCTATAGTTATAAATAAGTAAGGAAAGAGGGAACACAATGTTAAATTTAATGCCGTAACTTCATTTTAGTTAAGTACTATGCTTCGATGTGTTTACATCAACTTCAGAAGATTATAAATATATGTTTCATTTTTATAACCCTACTATATATTAAGGACAGTTACTAGTTTCTGTTTCTACTGAAAATTGGTTGATATCAGAATATATTTTGTCAGACATAATTTAATTTTAAGTACCACCTAAAATGAAACATGTTATGCGAGACCGATTTCTTTGTGAAATGAATATGCGGGGCGCGGTGTTATAGCCAGTAGTGGGGAGCAATGAAACACCGTGGAGCATTATTTTTAACACGTTCACTACCACCGGCCACTATAGTGGCCTTTCGGGTCTCCTACTGTGAACCGCGGCCATTATACTGGCCGTGAATTCAAACTCATTTTTATGCAATACAGATACTAACTAGGCTACGAGTGGTGGCACGTATGGTTTCTTCGGTCTATCGCGCTCATGGCCACTTGAGTGGCCGTTTGTTTGCTGAGTATGGTTTTGTTTTCAGTTGAACACGTGCATTTGTTATTACAAAATAAGGTTTTGCTGAGTCTTTTCTGTGTAGAAGTTGTTTTCAACTATCAGTTTTGTTACAAAACATGGATTCCACTGAGAAAATAAGATAAAAATTAATTTATTAGTTTTTTGTTATAAGATTTTGAGGTTATGTATTTTTTAGTGGGTCGAAAAAAGAAACCCAAAGCGTCCGTTGACTGTAGCTGAATTAGAAGAGTCACAAAATATGTCGAACTGGTCGGATTTGCCCGAAGATCAAGCTTTTTCAAGTGATGATTCTGTCGCTGACAGGAACTACGAACCACATGATTCTTCAAGTTCAGCGTCTAGTAACAGCGACCAAGAATCACAGAGCGATGCAGATGACAATGTGATTAGTATTTCAAACTCTTCACAAACGAAATTATCCCAGACCTTAGACATTTCTGATAATGAGTGGACTGATACAGAAGAAGATCCCATAACGTTTCCTTTCACGCCAAAGGAGTCTATAAGTATATACATTCCGGAAAATACTTCGGCCTTACAATATTTCCAGCTGTTTTTTGATGACACCATCATTGAGATAATTGTCCGTGAAACAGACGAGCCAGAGAATTTTTTGATAAACAGCCAGTTCTACCCGAAAAAAACGACTACAATGGCAGGATGTGTTGAAGAAATGAAAAGGTTCCTAGGATTATGCTGCCTTAATGGTAATATCCGCTTTCCCACTTTGGGAAAACAGTGGAGCAAGCATTCGTTGTATTTTCATCCCGTTTTCGAGCAAACCATGTTTCGGAATAGATTTTCGGACATTCTGAGAATGTTGAGGTTTGTTAATCATTCTACTGCTAATACCGCAGATTGTCTCTTCAAAATACGACCAATTTTGGAAAAAGTACTTTCAAATATAAAATCCATTTACACTCCAGGGCAACATTTGAGATTTGATGAGGCAATGATATTATGGCGAGGAAGACTGAGTTTTCGCCAATACATACCCAACAAGAGACATAAATATGGCATCAAACTCTACGAGTTAACCACTGATAGTGGATTTATCCTAAATATAATTGTTTATGTGGGTAAGGGAACATTGGCCGACAAAAATGAGTCTCATGCTACATCGGTTGTGAAACAACTTTTGGAAAGTTATTTGGGCATAGGTCACATACTGTATGTAGACAACTTTTATACTAGTGTCTCACTTGCCGAATTTTTGCTCCCGCAAAATACTGGAATGATTGGTACTTTGAGAGTTAACAGAAAAAGAAATCCCAAAAAAATGATAAACAAGAAGCTAAAAATAGGGGAAGCTATCTGGAAACGCAATGGAAAAACTGCTGTAACTAAATGGAAAGATGAGAGAATGGTAACCACTAGTCACAAACTAAAACCACAGTGTGTTCTAGATTATAATGCCCATATGTCGGGAATTGACACAGCCGACCAGATGATGTCATATTATTCCAGTCCAAGAAAGACAATAAAATTGTATCGAAAAATATTTTTTGTTGTTTCGTCTACAACAAAAAAAAACACCAAACAAATAAAACCCTTTTAGAGTTTTGAGAAGAAATTTTGAACGAACTCACACCAAAACAATTTTCGAAGCCACGAGCCACAGATTTCCAGTCACACCACTATCCGGCTGAAAATGTTGGAGAAAATAATACTATGAAAAGATGCAGGTGGTACTCGAAAAGAAATGTAAGAAAGAGGTTAAAGTATTATTGCCCGCAATGTGAAGATCAACCTGGATTATGTGTTACGCCGTGTTTTGCAGAATGGCACCTTCATCTGTCTCAGAAGTAATATTTGTTTTATTTTGTAGAACTTTGTAGAAGTTTATTTCAAATAAATAATAAATAAATCAATTTTATTTAAGTTCCTTGAGACCACTATAATGGCCGTCGGTCTGCCAAAGTGTCTATGACTACTATGGACCAGCGGCCAGTTTAGTGGTTCTAAAACAAAATGGCGGAATCTTGTTCAGAAGATCAAACTGAATGTGTAGCTACTTGAATCCCCAAAAAATTCCTAGTGGTTCAAAAGTTATTGCAGTTGGCTTGGGATAAACGCAAGCAAAATATTGGTGGTAGTGAAAGTGTTAAAAAAATTTAAACCGCGAGAATGATGATGATGATTTGCGAATTTCTTGAACAATTATTCTTCAATATTATTTACAGAAAATATTCAAAATAGTGCTAAACCGAAATGAATAGGACAAAAATAGCCAGATTTGACGGAGAAACAATGAAGCATGCAGTATGGAAAGTTGTAAATAATGACAAATCAGATCAGTTGCCGCATCTGAAAATTTTCTACATATGTGGACAAATATATATGTTCAAAAGAAGGTAAGTGCCAATTTCAGGTTTGAGTCAAATTATGAAAAGAATCAAATATTTCCTAAAGATTTAGAGGATGTTTTGAAGACTTGCAAAATGCACCATGGACTAAGTCAACTAAGTCAACAAGCTGGAATAGATTGGTTATATAAAGCGTCACCCACAGCTATCACTTAGGAAGTCTGAGTTCCCAAGTTTGAAGCCCCAAGTCTGAGGCACCAAGTCTGAGGCCTCAAGTCTGAAACCTCAAGTCATATGCGTGCAATAAATTGCAATCAAACTACAGTCAACGAATTTTATAATAATTTATACAAACATAAAATAAATTTCCATTAGTAAACTTTGGATGAAACAGCCCTGACAAGGCTTGAAACAAATTATTGATGACTTTCTTTCAAATATAACACAAGTCCTAAAATTCCCGAGTGAGTTGTGATAATTCGTGGCCAATTGTTGTATTTTCCGGCACAAATGGCGATTTCCTACAAAAGTAAAACAGAAACAGAAATATTCACTCTCAAATATAGAGCGTTTTAGCAAAGTCTATTAAGCCTAGTAGAATATTTTTTGTGTTTCTTGAAATTTTTTGGACATTATGTCGTTTTTGTAAAAACATCTGGTGGAAGATGTGTATTAGTGCCCACTTGTTTCATTAATGCAACCGGAAATTCGGTTCATTTCTTTTGGTGTTCTAAAGCGTACATTTTAAAGTTCGAATGTTAACAGGAACACCTCCGGGTGATAAAGGTTTGGGTACAAAAACTGGCTGGGTCAATAGAAAAGTTTTCATGGACATTTTAACATATTTACAACGTTTTGCAGAAGCTGCTAAAGAGGCGCCCTCACTTCTCATACTGGAGAAAAACGAGTCACACATAACCATTGATTTTTTAGAATTTTTGAAAAGCAAAGACAAATTTCAATAAAATTTGCAATGATGGGATGTGCATGAATCCTGGAAAGACCATAATCAGTGATGAAGTTGCTAGTTAGCTTGGTAAAGTGTATCCATTAACATTCACTTCCAATAATATCGTGAATGGATTCAGTTGTACCGGAAGTTGACTACTAAGTAGGGATATCTATAGATACGATGGTTTTTTGACGTCGGCTGTTACACAAAGACCACAGCCATCTTTTGTCATTGAATTGGAGCCACGTTTACATTCTACTCCACAATCTTCGATTGAGTCTACTACAAGACACTCACTCCAAGCCCTCTGTTCTGGTACACTCAACAACCCTTTAGATGTTGAAGAGTTTATATTAGAATTAAAATCCTTCGAAAACTTACTAGGAAAAATATTATTTTCAACATTTTTTCGAAACATTTTCCTTTTCAGACTTAATAAAAAGAACATATCTTTCTAATGTCTCTAAGTGTCATAATTTTCTTATTACGAAAGAGATGTTAAGGTTCACAACATGCTACGATTGCGAGCATCCTCAAGAAATGTTGGAAAAGAAATAAACTATGCATATTTCTATGTTTATGTTTTTTACGATCCCGGTTACCCCCGCCCCAAGACGAATTTTTATTTAAAAAGGAATGTGTGGATCACTTGGTAAATATTGGTACATTTTTCCCTTGATACATTAGCAAGATCCTATTTGATACTTAATATGATAAAAGTGACATGTTTCCATAAAAAATGGACGCGGTCCCTGTCGGAACCCATTCAGCACTTTATGTAACAAAATATAACATACATTAAGGTTTAAATAATATTTTTTTTTTTGTGTAATACTATGCCCTTTCTTCCCTTATATCACGCATATTTAGAGATTAAAATATTGAATGAGTGGAAAAATGATCAAAAGTCAAAAGATCGAACCTAAAAAAGATCGATAGTAGAACAAATGGTCGAAATCGCATATAATCAAAATTTCAAATGATCTAAATCATAATCGAAAGTACTAAATCGAAATGATATATGATCGAAATGGTGTATAAGATCGAAGGTATTAAATTACAAAATTGGTAAATTAGTTGTTGCTTACTCAAAATAACGCGCAACGAAACAGCGCCTGGCCGAATAGCGTTTATTAAAATAGCGCTGCATATCGAAATAGAATTCCAGCAAACTGGAGCCCGATTAAAACTGCGCTATCGCAGGTTATTTCTCAAAAAATGTTTACAGAAAATAATTAAAAAAAAAAAACTGTTAAATTACCCAACCAGTAAAAGTTCAGGTCGCACAGGTTAGATAAATTAGTCAATATTTTTATTTTTGTCCTTTCATGTAAAAAATTTTTGTAGTAAAGGCTCCAAGCCGTACAGGTTAGGTTAATTAGTTATTGTTTTCACTTTTTATCGTTTTATTTATATATTTTTTACATTCGAATAATTGTATTTTCGATCATTTTAACTTTTGATCAATTGAATTTACGACTATTTTTAATTTCGGCTAATTATGTTTTCGATCATTTCAATTTTCGATGTTTTGTACTTTCGACCATTTATAATTTTGATCTATTCGATTTGATCATTTTTCCCTTCGACCTTTCGACTTTCGATCATTTTTCAGCTAACCAAATATTGACATTTATTACTAGAATGTCAGAAGCATATATTTGCGGAAATATGTTCACCAACTATCTACTTATCTATATTTTACCTCTTTCCTTTTTTATTGGCTTCGATGTGACTCTGTAGAATATAAAAAATCGCAACCGTGATAAAAATCCGCAATATAAAAAATTCAGTTAGAAAATTGTGCAGAATATGTTTTACTTATCAAACTAATAAAATTAGATTTTTTGGTACGATCGGTTACTGTTTAGATTAGCAAAGACTTAAAATTTATTTGTACTTTGTATTTATTTTTGTATAACTATTAGTTCGAGATCAGAGGCACTCATATTATTCTATAATATCGAAATTAACCATTGCTTTTAACGATTAAGTCAAACGCAATCGTTTATTTCTGATTTACTGTAGGCAGTTTTTTTGTCTTGATTGATTTCCCAGAAGAGACATTCTAAAAACCGTGTCGGGTTTGTTAATTTTTATGATTGATCAGTCTTTTGAAGAGATTTACTTGGTATCAAGCTATTCTAACATTTAACTGCTTCCAAAATTTTTCGTTTTCATTTAAGAACTTTCTCTTCCGGGTCGGATACAACGGAATAATTCCAAATAAACTAGGAAAGTAATCATTAAGCAGTCTTGCGACAAGGACAAAAATAATTATCTGGAAGCAAATGCGTCTCAGGATTTGTCTGGATACACAAAGGGCGTGGTTTCTTGATAAGGACCTGTAACGATACAGGGATACATTGGAAAAACTGTTGTAAAAGTGTATGAGGGCAGTGTTGATGTTTTTATGACAATATCATTATTTGTTTTAATCATAGTGCTAACATCTACATTGAAATCGGGATCAGGCTTTTCTAAATCTAGTTTACGTCTCATTTTCTCCGTGTATTCATCCAAACCATGCAGTGGCTTGTTCATATTTCTATGTTGGTAAAAAACTAAGGATATGCGTGTAGGGGACAACCTATTTGGTGTTTTAAGGGCTGTAGTTGCATGCAGTTCATGTTTGGCACATTCAAACAGTATACTACCATGTGGCAGAGATATTGCTACACCACCCATTTCGTTATCTTCAAAACATTCCAGATTATCGGTGTAAGATATGTTAAAGCTTTTATCCATTTTTTCACTGGAACCATTTGATAGTGTACTGTTTGAATATAAATCATCGAAGGGATTGCTAACATCATAAGACGACTGATTACTAAATTGTGCAGCATAACTACTAAAATTTGGAGAAGGAGAAGCTGAAGCGCTAGAAGGATTGTAATAATAATCTTGATTGTACGAATTATTTGGATAAGTGTCATGATCTTGATATTGGTTACTGAAGTAACTAGTAGGAGGGGGAGGAGTTTTAAAAACAGAAAATTCTGGTAGACTAGGAGAAGGGGTAGAAGGATAACTGCCGTTACCATATACATCGTTCTTATTTAAATACAAAGAAGAATAGCTGCTATTACTACTGTCAGAAAAGTTGTCGTACCTCCCAATAGATTTTTTAGGATAATCTAATACCGTACTGGAAACTTGACTGTTTTGTACTTCATTGCTCTTTTGAATGTTCATCGAGGTATTTGATGGGGACTGAAATGAATGTTCTGGTGTCAGAGATTTCTTTTTTTTCTGTCGCTTTCCTTCCGCATCTTTTTTCTTTTTGGTTCGTCTAACCACGCACTTTTCGGCTGGTGTCGAAGAGGTGCGTACCTCACACGAGTATCTGAAAACAATTGATTTAATTGAGGATAACACGGGCATAAATAAATGACGTATTTTGTTATTTCAGAGCTAATATACGTCAGATTTTACAGTGTGGAACAGCCAAATCAGTATTTCAAGTATTGTGCATATTTATAAAAAAAATCCAAATATTTGATTCGAGGCATTTTATGACATAAATAATTCTGCCTCTTCTTTAATTCCGTCTACGTGACAGCCACCATCTCAATTTTTTAAATAGCAAGATATGTCGTATGAAACTCCATTGAAAAGGTAATTTAATAAGGCATTCAATAATGACTGTGTATTATTTTACTTTTTATTTTAGCGTTCTCTAGAGGAATAAATGAATATAAAGTGTCAATTCACTTGAAAGCTAATTTTATTGGTAATTCAAAACACTACATAACATTAACTTAACTAAATCAAAAATGAACTTCGTTTTGTTGCAAGTACGATATGGAGATATTTAAATTAATATTGTGGTGCATTGATAATTACTAATACAATTAGCTTTTAAATCAAATGTCACTTTACAATAAGTAACAGTTTCTATTCCGCTAGAGGGCAAAATCAAAAGTATAATAATGAATAGTCATATTGCTGAATTCTCCATAAAATTATTTTTTCAATGAAGTACCATCCCAGATAACAATTATACATTCTTAGAATATTCTTTTTAGGAATAAGTATATACTGAGAATATACTTTATTTGCATTTAAAACATTCTCAGAACATATGACTTTTAGTATTTTTTAAGAATGTCCTGTTAAAGCTCATGCTTAGTATATACTTTTTAGAAAATAATGTTAAAACACGTATTCAGTTAATACTTTCTAGAATATACTTTCAAAGTATGTTCTAGGCAATTTCTAAAGGCGGGTACAGATCTGAGCACGTACGCGTATGAGGCAAGCCGAGGACGCATGAGCATGCAGATGTGGACGAGCTCTCGAGGCACGGCAAATTGTCCCGTGCGGCCTCGCCCCGATTTTTTTGTTGGCGGTACATCAAAGGGAGGCAATGCGCAGTACGTGCTCAGTCTGGACGGGGAATTTGAACCAAATAGATAATACCGAGTTTTCAAGGTTTATTTTGCATAAAGTGGAGTCAGGAAAAGGTTTTGCTTCTCCTAGATCAGCGAGATATTTTATGTAGATCAAGACAAAATAATAAAATAGGCACTCAACTACCAAACCTCCATTTTTGTTTTAATTATACAAGTGTTCTGTGTGTACGGTTCCGTGCTCGCGAATTCACTGGATCGACTGGATCAGTAGCGAACAGCGCCTCGTGCGTATACCATTCGTATGTACAAAATGCGCCGCATGAGGCATTCAGTTCGGCCTCGGCTTGCCTCATACGCGTACGTGCTCAGGTCTGTACCCGCCTTTAGAAGACTCGAAAAAGGACATACCAAAAAGAATATAAATATAATGTAAATATTCATGGAACATTGATATTTTAAAAAACAGAGTGGGTGGATGTTTCACGTGGTGTGGATTAAAAGGGAAGCAGAATTTTTATACTTAAAATATTTTCGATTTTGTTGTACAGGGTGCGCGAAAAATACAACAAAATTGTGGATTTGTAAAATAAATTTTTTTAAGTAACACTATTGTGCTTTTCGATTTCACCTTGCAAGATCTTCATATGAAAAAAAAAATTGTATTAAAAAACATATATGGCTTATGCTTACGAAATATACAGTATATGCAATAAAGTTAAATCCATGTTTGAATTTTTTTAATATTATGATTAGAAAAATCTGGTAAAGCAATCACTTATTTAAAAACTAAAAATAGCGTAATTTTAATATTCGGAAAAGTAACTAATCGAAAATGTTTACCAAAAATTAATATGGAATTGCTGTCTTCACGTCCCTTTGTCAGTGTATCAAAAAATGGAAAAAACTAAAATGTTCGTCGGAATATCCGGTTCAAAATCGGTATGTTGACGTAAAATGTTATTAAAAGCAATTTTCTCTAATAAAGTTTTTAATATTTCAATAAATGCCATTTTAGATAACTTATTAGGCATTCCAAACTGAATGGCTACCAGTGGGTTTTGACGGGTTATGATATGGCAAAATTATGGCAACCCTGTAGGCCTGGTGATTTGACAAGGTCAATGAAATAGATAGTTACATAGATTGATTATCCATATTTTTCAAAATAAACATAAGCGTATGCCATGAAGTAAAAATGTAAGCAATTATTTTTTTTTTTTAAATATCTAAAGGCTAAGAATTGGTTTTAAAACACATTTTTGCTAAACCGATTCAAATTAATAAGTATTTGCCAGGCAATATGGCCGCTCGTAAACGAACAGCTTTGAGCAATCTATATAACTATATATGTATCATTGACCCTGTTAATGACAACATGACAACAGGGTTGCCATATCTAAACTGTCATTACCCACTGGTAGCTATTTGGACAGGTCGTTGGAATGCCTAATTATCAGTAGCCAACTTTGAAACGGGTTATTTTAAATTTTTATATAAGCAGAGGTAATTGCCCTATGACGTTTTTTTTTCAATTGTAATATTAAAAAAATCATATACGGATCCAACTTCATGGCATACATGGATGTAGGTATGTAAATATACCTATAGCAGAAAATGTATTTATTATTATGCCAGTTTAGTGTGATGCCATTTTGGTTCCACTAACATCTAGTTCTAACCAAACTTTTAACACAAACATCAATAAATTTAACATACGTTTCTACTGATTTTAGTTTTTTTTTTTTTAAATATTGTTTACAGGTGATAAAAATAGTTTAAAGGTATGTAATTGGTAACTAAACGATTGTATATTTGATGCATGTTATCTATTTACTTTAGGAACATATGTATAAAAGTAAAAAAACGATATAATTTAGGCAAACAAAACGCACTCAAAAAATCTACTGTCACTTTAATTGTCAGTGGAACCATAATTACATCATCACTAAAATAGCGTATAAACATTTACTTACTTTTCCAAAACGTCTATCCCTCCGTTTATCACTTTTTCATTTTGATTTTTCCCAAATTCGTCAGTATCCTCTGGCACGTAGAGTGGTAGAACGTGAAGCTGCTCTTCAGCAGGTTTCTCCAAACCTTTGTGCTTCGTTAAAGTAACAACAACAGTGCAACCGTCAATCATATTATGCATGTCTTTGTGCGCGTGTGCGCAAAAATCCATGCATGCCGTAACTCCGGAAAATGGTCTACCAGAGTTTCTTCCTAATCGGCAATCTGATGCGATACTTTCAAATCGGCATTGGTTTTTAAAGGACTCCGGAGCAAGTAAACGATAGATAGGACCGATATGATCTGTTAAATTTTGCAGTTTTTCTTCAACTATTGCTTCCTCGTTTTTTTCGGACAAACGGAACTTTCTAACTTCTTTTGATCGTGTAAATTTGCAACCGTTGTAATACATCGACCAGGAACATCCAAAAGTAAAGCTTGCACCGCAACTGTCTTCATTAATACCTTGACAGGCGCAAGTTCTTGGATCGTTGGTGGCACAACGACGTTTCGTGGGAAGTCCAAATTTGTTCAGTTTCTCCGTTAAAAGGGAATAGAGCTCGTCGGCACTTCCTTGAGACACGCCATCCCAAACTACGAGTCCAATTACAATAAACGTGGAACGACAATTGTGGCCTTTTCGTTGTTTCACAAGTACCAGGTACTTTTCGTTTTCATCCTGGCGGCGTATAACCTATAAAAATTAAAAAAATTATATTATTCATTATAATGCACGAATAGTAAGGTGAATATAATTTTGACTAGATTTCTTATTAACTACATTGTGCTTGGTAAAAAAATACTGATATCTATGCAACCAATATTACTTTCGTGTATTGTTAGTTGCATAACTTTATTTGTTTCATTAGCATATTTAAAAAAGAAAATAGAAAATCATGTAATTTATTCTCAAGCACTTGTTGTAGGGTGTTTATCTTGCTTGTTAGTTATTAATTTTTCAAGAAAGTGGGTTATTTTGACGTATATTATGTTTTGATTGTTTTGTGCAGATTTGGGATGGAGAATATGGAGCAGAACAGAATTATTACTAAGTTGTTAAGTCCACTAATAAAATCTATCTATTTTTATACAGCTAACCTTTCTTCGATATAAAATTTGATTTAAACTCTTGGAGAAACTATTTTTTTTAAATACTAGGTATCAAAAAATATAAAGTAAATTGTTCATATATGGGTCTCATTAAGAATGGGACACAAAACAACCGTAGATTCTGTGATTAAAAATAAGCTGATTAAACGAAAGATACCATGATGAAATATTACTGGTATCCGAAAAGTTAAATATTCAAATATTATTAATGACTATAATTTCTTTATTACTCAGAATAATTTTACTAAATTCGGTAGACATTTTTGGTGTCATAAGATACACCTATCAGAAAAACAATTAGTTCAATAAACTTTGCCAGTGGCGTACAGCATGGATAAGTAACACCTTTATCCGCTCTAAATTTTACGACACTGTCCAAAAACTGATTTTGACTATGCTTTTATGTTTTTTTTATGTTTTTAAATAAATTATTTACTCCAGTTAGGAACTCATAAAGTGACAATTCCTTTATGCGTTAAAATATTGAAGGCCTTTAAAAATATTTTCGGATTTACTAAATTACTTCTGTCATTATTTAAACGGATTCCTTTAAAATACGTTAGAGGACTATCTTAAAGAAATCCGTTTAAATAATGACAGAAGTAAATTAGCGAATAAGAAAATATTTTTAAAGGCCGCCAATAGTTTAACGGATAAAGGAATTGTTACAGAATAGACCCCATTAACACTCAAAGGTGGATATTCTTATTTTTAATTTTTTTTTTATTTTGTAATTTTTGATTTTTTTATAAAATTATACCCAGTAAACGTTCTTTAAGGTTATAAGAAACACCAATCAGCCAAAAGTCAGTTAAATAAACTTTGGCAGTTGCGTACGGCATGGGTAATTAACACCTTCATCTCTTCTAAATTTTACGAACTCTCCAAAAACTTTTTTGGCGAATATCTCGAAAATAAATCACTTTATGATTGTTTTGTTGATAGGTGTAGCTTAGAAGGTAAGTACAAACCAGGCAACAAAATGATTCGTTTACAAGTCCATAGTAACTTTAAAAAAAAATATATCGAAACAATCAATCTCCTCAATTGTACCCGAAGAATGTGAAGCCATCATTGAAGTGCTCAAAGGATATTGTCAGGCAAGGAAAAAGTAAATAAAGAAATTATTCATAATTGTCTTTCGGTAATAGAAATTCGCTACATGCTGCCAATAAAGTGGATCGAGATTCTGATGGCATATTTAAATAGTGTTTCTATTTTGAAGTTCTCATAAAAAAGATCCACCTTTAATCTTCGAATCAATTTTAAATAAACAATATTTTTTTATTAACAAAAAAGAGTGAAATTTACCACGTAACCTATGATAACTAAACCTACATAGATGAAGCTAACATTATTTAACGTAGAAAATAAAATAAAGCAACGAAAGTTAATCTCACTATATACTGTTTTGACGTTACTTGTTGTCAACACCGTCCAGACCGAGCGATGTTTACCATTTCAGATTGAAAACATGGATACATACAACAAACAAAATCCTTTGATTTCGGCACTATGTTGCCGAGTATTTGTAAACTTGTTGAGAGTTGATGGGATACTGTTGGCAACAGTGTTGAAAACATGTAACCGGGCGCTCGTTGTCCAGTCTGTACTTGACACCAAAAATGTTTACCAAATTTAGTAAAATTATACTGGGAAATAAAAAAATTATAGCCATTAAATTTTTTTTAATTTTCAACTTTAACGCCCTGTTTATCGGAAACTAGTAATATTTTATCCAAGCATGTTTCGTTTAATCGTCCTATTTTTCATTAGAGAATCTTCAGTTGTTCTGAGACCCTGTATACCAATCTTCTAGGTGTTCTGTGGGTTGAAAGTTTTGAGAATTTAACTATATAAAAAGAAATCTGAAGTTTAATAACCAAACCTTATTTCTAATTATTCCAAAGAGGCATACCTTGTTGACTCATAATTATCTATTTAGGTATATCTGAAGATGAAGTAGATACTTCGAAACCAGAGGTTATTAAACTGAACTTTACCGCCTTCCTAAATAAAAACAAATTTATTACAAAAAGTACATACCCACTTAGCGATCGGACATCCCTGTGAAGTTTTTCCCTCCTTTCCAGTGTATCTTAATTTCTCTATTCTTATGGAAACGCCAGTAACTCCAGTTCTACATTCTAGATCATGTCTTAAACTTTTTAAATTATTAGCACAGCCTAAGTGAGTATAATATGTACCAGGTTCTGGATAAGCTTGATCCGTTAGTAAGCACTGACACTCTGGTATTTCCATTCCAATTTGTTTATTATATTTGTCAGGAGATTGGACAGCTTTTGGTTTCAAAGGTGTCGAAATTCGTTTTCCTTTGGTAGTTGCCTGTCGAGTCTTGTCCGAAATGTTCCTCTGTTTAATTGGTCCAACATATTTATGACTAGATGCCTGATCCAAAGAGTAATCTTTATTTTTATCTGCGTAGGGATTTGGAAAATTCGAATTAATATCATTTAAATTATTTGTAAACATACGATGTTTGTCAGTAACTTCGTAATTTTCATTTTTTATTTGAGCAAATCTACGTAGGTCTAAAGGGTTATTATGTGCATTAATAAGAGTCTGTTGTGGAAGATTTAAATGTCGTTTAGAATCGTAGCGATTCTGAAAGCCACCATCATCACCTAAAGGTTTTTTTAAGTGGTGATGGTGGCTATACGATAAAAAATGACCGGTCGAATTTTGTTCCACTGCTTTTGATTCTTCCATTTTGATATTCTCTTGTTGTTTATTTAATATCATCGTTTTTATCCTGGTATTGAGATTAACTTTATCCGCTTGTGAAAATGATTTGTCTGCTTGAATGTTATTATGCATATTGTCCATTTTGGTTGGGGAATTGTTGACTTCTTGCATGTATTGGTTTTGTTGCTCTTGATGTTCATAGGTATTCTCCACTTTGACTTGTTGTTCCCACATCATTTGTCCGTCGTTCTGCCATTGGTCGTGCTCCTGTCCGCTGTACTGGTCCTGGCCTGGGTAACCACTAGAGTTGTGTGAAGTTAGCTGCGGACTGCTGCTGTTCACCTGCGGATACCCAGGCTGAGCGTTTCCCGAATTAGCATTTACGTAATTTCCTGAAGGATTGGGACTGAAATTACTAATAGAAGTGTAGGTGTTATTGGTTTGTTGTTGAGAAGCTTGATTTTGTTGTTGTTGTTGCTGCTGTTGCTGTTGTTGCTGCTGTTGCTGATGATGCTGAGTTTGAGGACTGAAATTCTGGTTGGGAGTCGATGGATTCATGATTGTGTTCACCGATCCTGGTCTGGAATTATTACCGGTCTGAGAACTTTCGTTAACAGTCGATGTAGAACCTGACTGGATAAAATTTTGCTGTGAAGATTGTTGCTGGTTGCCTGATTGTTGAGCAATATTATATTCTTGATACTGCCGTCCACTGTTCGTTTGCTGTTGAACGGGACTGGGGCTTGGAGTATGAGAATAATTCGAATTCGGTCGAGGGGCTGGTGCTAACTGTACTTGCTGATTGGGCGTACTAGCCGGCCTGGAATTCGTTAGCACTTGAACAGCTCCTGTATAAAAAGTGTTAGTTTCGAATGCGGGTTGTTGATACGTAGCTTGGTATATGCCATTCGGATACTGTTGATAAGTTTCGATGGGTTGACCTGTGGCGGGTATTTGTTGGATAAATTGGCCTTGCGTCCAACCTAAAACACAAAATATGTTAATAATAAATAGTAACAAAATTTAACTACATTTTAATGTAAAAATAATAATGTAAACATTAATGTAAACATATTAATATCAACACATTAATGTAAACATATTAATAAAATATTTTAATGTAAACACGTGGGATCATTTAAAGAAAAAATGTTTGGTTGCAAACAAGGTAATACAAAATATTATTAAATTTTGGCATAGAAGTAAAAAGTTTTTTGCAGTGTTGTGATATTTGTTGATCTCGAAACTTTGTTTGAATTAGTCCTGGTAGCCCATATAATTTAAATCCAGTGAGTTTCCGGATCCTTGTAGAAAAACTGCATTAGCATCGACTTTTCTTAGTTCAGCTTCCAGTCTTTGTTCTAGCAAGTCCGTATTTTTGAAAGTTCATCATACCTTTGACGAGCTCAAAAAATTTGGTACCTTTATAAGAAAATAAGCCACACAACTAAGAAAAACTTTGTAGGTAGGTACATACTTATTTACATACTGTCCAAATCGATTTAACGGTTTTCAAAAAAAGTGGATGTGAAGATTCTGCATTTAAAAAAAAATAGTTTACATATTTTAAGATAAAATAAAAGAAAAAAGTTAAAAATTTACAAAATTTAAAATAAAAATATAAAAAATATAAAAAAAATAAAAAATTTAACTATATCTAATATTTAAATGGACTCAAATCACGAAGGTACATATTCTCATATGCGATTTTTATTGCTAAATGTTTCGTGTACATTTATTTCTTTAATAAAAATTATTTACCTTGGGAAGGATCTGCCTGCCATACTGGAGTAGGGAATCTGTTAGGATCTGCGTAGAAAGGCATTGGAGTCTGAAAAAGAAAAAAATCCTTGTTAATCTGTTAATAATTATTATCAATAAATTGTTACTATATTTCAGAATATAGTGCACAATTTAATCATTAATAATTTATCCATTTAGAGTAACTGTCACATTACCATAACAAATGGAATAAATTTAAATATACAAAATCTGGAAAGGAAGAATAAATATAATTATATTTTGAAAAAATGTATAAAATATAAGACACGAATTTATTATTCCTAATATCTCTACCTACTACATTATTTTAATTTCCAATAAGTTATACCTACTCATAAATATTTTATTAAAAATTGATATTATTTGAGATACTTTTTAGAGATTGCCTTCCCCATTATTTGAAATATGGTGACATGGTCAGAAGTTGGAAAGGCTTTTGGTAGGTAGCAAAGCTGGGGAGGATTCGAATCCTTTTTGACGATCCGAGAGCTGTATTCGAATACTTTAAAAAAGAAGGATCTGTGATCAGGATTCGCAGAGGAAATCCTAAAGGATCCGTATTCGAATCACCAATAGTAGTCTCGGATCCTTTTAGAGACCAAACTACGCCGGCGCGAAGTGTAAACTGAACTAGACTGAGACTGAAGAAAGATAGTGAATATTTAGAAGGTAAACGTAATAATCTACAAATTAGCAATTAATATCCAACATAAACAAATCCTAACATTTAACACTTGCCTTCCTTCGTCTGCTGCAGTCGAACAATTTTTTTTTGTTTGCATGTATAATCGACGCACCTCGAAGGAACGGCCTGACAGATGAAAACTTTGAAATTTTGGTGCTATGTATGAAGGCCAACCAAAACACATTTTTATTTCATTGTTTACTACTTTGTTTTTTGTATTAAAATAAAATATTGGGTGTCCAAATTTGACATTCCCATTTAAATTGACCGCCATTTTTGGTAATCTTCATTGACAGTACTTCTATGGTGACATATGTCAAGTAAAAACTTTGCGGTTACTTGGAGAGTGTTTAGACACCTCGCACGGTGCGTCTGGACCCTATTCTAATGCATGTGGTCAGACGCGCCGTGTGAGTTTTCTAAACGCACTCTTGTTTTTTGGTCAACATGGAACAACTGTCTATCGAAAACACCGTTTTTATTGGGCATTCTAAACTGAATGGCTACCAATGGGTTTTGACAGGCTATGATATGGCAAAATTATGGCAACCCTGTAAGCCTGGTGATTTGACAAGGACAATGAAATAGATAGTTACATAGATTGATCATGCATATTTTTCAAAATAAACATAAGCTTATGCTTTGAAGTAAAAATGTAAGCAATTGTTATTTTTTAAATATCTAAAGGCTGAAAATTGGTTTTAAAACACATTTTTGCTAAACCGATTCAAATTAATAAATATTTGCCAGGCAATATGGCCGCTCGCAAACTACTAGCTTTGAGCAATCTATATAACTATATATGTATCATTGACCCTGTTAATGACAACAAGATAACAGGGTTGCCATATCTAAACTGTCAGTCCCCACTGGTAGCCATTTGGACAGGTCGTTGGAATGCCTAATTGTGAAAACTTATTACCAAAATAAGGAATGTTTTACTGAAACTGCAAGAAGATGCCTTACGCATTTCGGAAGAAATTTAGCACCATCTGTTAAAGTCATTGAGAGTTTTATGAAGAAATTTCAACAGCAGAATATGGGATGAAGAAAATCCAAGAGAAATATTGGAAAAACAACTGTATCCAGGAAATGTGACTGTGTGGTGTGGTTTTTGGTCTAGTGGCGTTATTAGTCCTTATTTTTTTGCAGAATGAAGCTGGTGATCGAAAAACTGTGAATGAAGCGCGATATAGGACAATGTTTACGAGATTATTTGCTGAACGAATTAGAATATATGGATGGCTAGAACATGTGGTTCCAGTAAGACGGCGCCACTTGCCACAAATCGGATAAAACACTCTCTTTTAAGGGAGGGATTTGATATTCGAATAATTTCTCGAAGAGCTGAGGTTAATTGTCCGCCTAGATCGTGCGACCATTGGATTATTTCTTGTGTGGCTTTTTGAAGGGAAAAGTTTATGCTAATAACCCTCAAACACCTGAACAGCTTCGAGTTAACATTGTTCAAAAAAATTAATAAATTGAACAGAGTGTTTGCGAAAATGTTCTTGAAAATTTTGTAAAAAGAATGTTAGCATGCTAAAGAAGCAGAGGGGTCACATGCTGGATATCATTTTTCATTATTAACCGTAACATTTAAACTTTAAAATAATACAATATATTATTTGTGTTTTATTATAAAATTAAATCCGAAGGTCAAATTTGGACACACTTTATATTTTTTGTAGATTCTAATTTATTTATGGTTCATATTCATAGAAAAAAATAATTTAAAATATTCAACGTTCTTGTATCAACCATTTTTATGCACGTCATAGTCCGTAATAGACACATTAGTTGATAGTAGACAATATTATTCGGAAGCATACTTAATACCATAGTATGACACTGATATTGCTTCGTGCTCTGAAAAAAAGGTTGAGGACAGATGATCCGTGATTCGAATTACATCTAATGTAGATTCGAATATATTTTTTGAGGATTCGTCCCAGCTCAGGGGGTCGATTCTCGACTCGTAGGAATTTTTTCCTATAGGAATTTTTGACATTTTTCTACACATCGGAAATTTATGACATTTGTCTACATGTAGGAAAGTGTCACAAATTCCTATAGGAAAAGGTTCCTACAAGTCGAGAATTGACCCCCTGGTAGGTAGAAAGGTGGTAAACGTCAAACCCCGTAGGACGACTTCGAGAATTTCGCGGTGATGTTTCTTCGGCAATGTCGTATCGTAGAATAAAAATAATAGCAAACACTTTAAATTATTACCGGCAGAATTGGGCAAACGAATCTATTCATGGCCTACAAATAATTATTTAAACAATATTATCCCAAATCATAATTCTACATAATTTCAATAGCTATTCACAATTTATTAAACTATTTACACGAAATTGTTATCAGCATTTATAAAATAATTTTCTACACCAATGTTTCGCGTTCATTTCGGTTAGCTCCGCGGCAAAACTTTCAAATCCTGTCTATGAAGTCGGAGAACTGGCAAAAGCCTTTCCAACTTCTGTCCTTGCTTTACTTACATACTCCCGCTCAAATATTCTAACACAGTTTTGTTGGAGCGTTAAATATTGGCAACAGCCAATCCAACTGAGAAATCGAAATCTTGCTTTGTAGGCATCTTTTTGGTTCCAATAGGTTCTAAACTACTTTGGTGCCGTCTGATCTACAGTTGTCTCTTTAGCATAAAGGAGAGATATGGCTGTTGACAAGTATTAATAGAATTAATTAAAATATAGTATAAAAAGGCTAAGACCAAGGACTGAACCTTGTGATACTCCTGCAATCATTCTTTTTAAATCTGATCTGTTATTTAAGCAGACTACTAGCTTTGGTTAGTTTTTTCGATAATCTGAGATAAAACCCTCGAATTCCATAATATTCCAGTCACATAATATTCATCATTGATATCACTCCATATATGTCCACTACTTCCTTGCTAAAAATTGCGTAGCTATTCGGCTCATGAGTATACACAAAACATGAGCACTCGTTAACAACCATAAAATTGGTTTCTGTTTACTCACCTTTTTATACACGCAAAAAAAAAGAAAAAAACATCGTGTTTAAACGATTAAGTATACGTGTTTAGGGTGAAAATCCCCAAAAGCAAAGGAATATCCTGTCGAGATAAAATGAACCTTTTGTAGAAGTTTATTCGGCAATTGGGGTTGAGTTGAGACAGGCCGAATACGATTTCGTTACCCCAAGGGGGAAGGGCCCTCCTCAAACTCGACCTACCTCAACGGTAGGGGAAAACCTTCCAGCTATCAGACAGTGATCTCCCCAATCCCCAATACACCCAGCTGACAATGATAACGGGTCTTTTCATTATCAAGATTACAAATAAGTGCCCATTTTGGGCAAAACACTTCAAAAAAAAGATAAACAGACACGAGACAGACATTTCGTGTCTATTTACCTTAGATTTGGAAAGAATGAGAGAAAATGTAGAATAATTCTAGGATTCGAAAGAGGAACGGCTATTTGTATTTATTTATGGTACAGAATCTGGGAAAAAATTTCAATGACCAAAGTGGCCAGTATGGAGTGTGTCTCTAAAAAAATAGAAAATTAGGTAGGCGTTATTGGAACAAAATACCGTTTTTAAAGAAACCGACGAAATTCAGATCATACCAATGATGTATATTGTTATATAGATTGTTCTCTCATATGTAGGGTCAAGTGGGGGACACTTGTATATTTAATATGTTACTTTTTAAAGTATTGAGATTGTTTCAATGTTTTATTTTTATTGATAAGGAATCATATTTTTATGGGGTTACTAAGGGCTTATATTATAAGGAGGAAAATAATTCTAACTCAATTGTGACAAGACGTAAAATAAAATAAATAACACATTTGTCACTCAAAATACGAACGACCGTTTCTTTTTCGAAAACAACTACTCCTTTGGCTAATAAAGCAACAGGTATTGAATTATATCCAAAGGGACAACAGCAGAGATATAAATTTAATTTCAACACTCTTACTTTGATTTTGCTTACTATGGAGAATCATTCTTGGACCAGTCCAAAATTTTTACCTCTGCTGTCTTTCCTTTGGATATAATTCAATACCTGTTGCTGTATTAGCCAAAGGAGCATTTGTTTTCCAAAATTAAATGGTCACTCGTATTTTGTGTGACATATGGCTTTGTTATTTTATTATTTTATGTTGCTTATATTCTAAGTTTAGATTAATTTGACCCGATTTATTTTATATTAATTGCATTTTTGTAATTTTGGCCATTTACAATTTTTTTATGTATTAACAATTGCCCAGTGTATGTCGGGGTAAACGTAAATTAAATGCTTATTTGCTATGAAAGATGATGCATCCAAATTGGGGGGGGGGGGTACTTGTAAATAAAGCTACTTAGTATTATATTAAAATACACCAGTGTATTTACAATTACCTTAACAAAAGCATAATTATGGTAAAAAATAAGTTTTATTAAAAAAATTGACGATTTTATATGGTAAAAAAATATGTTTTAATACAGATATACATATAAGAAACTAAATATGTGAGTCTTTCTCAAATAAACCAACACATAGGTACAGAAAAAACATAAATTTACGTTTCGTTTTTGGTGGAATTCTATACGTTTACTATTATATTTTTTGAGAAACAATAGTTATTTGTATGCTTAGGCCGCGAAATACCTTTTTAACGTACTGAAAGAATAGTTATCGCCGAGGCCGCTTGCGGCCGAGGCCAGATAATCTTGAGGTCGTTAAAAAGTTTCGCGGCCATGGCATACACACTATTTTTCGTGCAATCGTTAAAATTATTAAACTAGATAATTGTAAATAAATATATTATTGCTCTAAAATCAACAGCAGTTCAATTTATTTAACAATGTCACCGTGTGCTATGGAAATGTTCAATACATACAAAATATTTTGACAGTTCTTGACAAAACGCAAAATGTTTGATACTGATAGCAATATTTCAGTACCTTCCACTCCTCCTAAACTCAAGAGAGTTGTAAATTCGGCGATTTCCGTTTTAATACCCGAAAATAAGAAGCAAATTTCCAACTTAATTTCTGGCGATATAGTATCTGGTTTGAATGTAGGCAATAAGCATTATTTAGAAACACTAGATGTAGTTGCTTCAACTTCTGGAGTAAATATAAGTAATAATACAAACTGTACAATTAATGTTAATATTCATCCTAAATAATATAAGTACTTATGTATTTGTTGGTATTCAATAAAAAATAATCCTTGTCTTTGTAATATTTTAGAAATGTCAAATTTGAAAGTGATATTCAAATTTGGAAGTGACGTTTGGTTTCGCAGCCGTTGCTATGGGTAACGGTTGCGAAATTAAATTTCGCGGACTGTGCTGAGAACGCGAAATACTGACTTCGCGTGCGATTGCACGAAAAAAATATTTTTTGGTCAAGTATACTTGTACATATGTTTGTCTGGGAGTGGATTTTCGAATTTTTTCAAAGATTTTAAAAAACATTCCTAAAATTTCAATTTTTTTTAGTTTTTTCGATTTTTCTTTTTGTTAAAAAAAAAATAAATTTCATAAAAGTACTACCAGAAGAACATAGTTTCAACCTTCCTCTATACTAACGTATTTTTTATTTTATTGTGTGTTTTGCAATAAATTCGTAGGATGGAAATTAGTCAAATGCAAATCGAGAATTTTGCACTAGAATGTGCTGCCAATGATGAAATTTCGAGAACTGTAGATTTATGAATGAAAATAATGTCTTTGATTTCTATCGTCACTAATATATTTTACGAGTTAATTATTATATTTAACTACGCACGAAGTGAAAAATTTTACGCACGAAGCCGCGCAGCGGCGAGTAGGTAAATTTCACGAGTGCGTAAAGGGCTTACAACTCGTGTAACGTACTATACTTTTTCTACGCCCACTTATTTTCTTCTATTAAATAAAGGACATAAATTTCGTACCTTTCTTTGGATTTTAGCGGTAACAAATTATGTGTGGCAGCTTGAGCTTTTGCTAAAATCTCCGGTGGAGTACTCATATTTTCAAGACTTTCACTACTAACAGACATATTCGTAGGTAAAGTTGAGAAAATGTTCAAATACAATAATATTTTGTTACAAATATTGACAATATAAATGACAAGACATTTATTTCCATAGCATGCTAAGAAAACGCGACTTGAAAAATTGTATAATGTGTTGTCGACATTTAGGGGCATCACTTTTTTAATCCATAATATATATCGCTAATGCTAAAAGTTTTTGTTTTTCAATTGACTAAATTTATGTAAATAGACCAAAAAAAGTCGTAAGTAGATAAAAATTTGATTGCAATTTGATTAAACTTAGAAATTTAAGTTTTCTCATCAAAACGCACGTGTATGTTATGAGATCTCATTACGGGAGGACTGGCAAGCGGTAGGACTCGGGAGAATTATTAAGAAAAAAATATGTGCAGCCAGGCCAGGCCGTACAAGTTGGCACCGCTGGTAATGTTTCTTTTCCTGCTTGCCCCAGGGCCGGCTCTGTAGCTCTCACACGCACTTGTGCCAAGGCATATTGGAAGATGTTGGATAGCCAATACTGTATATTACAATAGGTTATCTAACTATTCTGCTTTTTGTACATGCGCTAAGTTTCGTAATCAAACTTTAACATTTTTAGATGATTTAAAACTTTCATTTTTGAAAGTTTTTTTGGTTTTTTTTACAGAACAAATTTAATTCGTGTCGGTCAAGTAAAAAGTCTGCATATACTCGGCTTCTTTCTTTATTCTGTATTGATATCTATTACAAAGAGCCAAAGGTTTATTTTTGAAAGAAATATCAAAAATTCAATACAAATTTAAAATGATTTTATCATGCTTACAATCAAAAAAATCAAAACTGTATTTTTAAATCAAATGTTCAAATTGTCCTCCATTGACTTCCATACAATAATAAATTCTCTCCAATTAATAAATAAAAAAAAATCAAAACATTTTCTTATCTTGCCTTCATTTTTTGTTCTTAGAAGGTGTTTATCACGTTTCTTCGATCAGACCATTTCATGTGATAAAACAATTAATTTTTTTTAAGAATGTGATTTTTTTCATACACCCTTGTAAAGAGGCTTCCAAGACCTTACAAATGAAGTATCACTCAACCCCTCTTCCCTATTCAATTTTATGGGGTTGAAGCGCCCCCTCGTAGGGGGTTGCTCGTTCAAGCCTCAAATATACGTCAAAAGATTTCCCCAAAAGAAAATCATCCACGTGTTTCGGGAAATTTTTTCCAATTACTATGGGATAAGAAATATATCACGTCTGAGATGGAACACCCTGTATGTATGTTAGCTTGCAAAATCTTAACAGTTTTAGGGAATTTTCTCATTTTATTTTCGAAAAAAAATCAATTTTTGATTAGTAGTGTACCTGAGATTAGCACCGCATTTCAGTTGTTTCTAGTACTGCCTGTTACATCGGCTCAAGCAGAACGAACATTTTCAAAATTGAAACTAATAAAAAGTTCATTTGCATTAATTTCTATAGAAAATGAACGGGCAGAATGCATAGACTTAGACCAAATAGTTAATACATTTGTTGCTTTACACAAAAAAATAGTTTTTTCCTTTACTTAAACCAATCTGAAATGCGATTCAAATCATAATAATAATATGTTTAGAGTTAATTTGTTTTATTTGTTTATTTTTGTAACATTTTTGTGTTAGTTATAAATGTTTTATTTGTTTATTTTTGTTACAGTTTTGTGTTAGTAATGTTTATTAAATAAAGTTATGTTGGATGGAATTTGGTACGTTAATGACGCTACGAATTTTATTAATTAAAATTCTTATTCTTCAAAAAGACGAAAGAAAAAAATAAAAATATAAAGGTGAGGCCACACCAAATTTTTTCTATTTATAAACCGATTTGAAATATCACTGTAGACAGTAGTTTCGTTGTCACCCAGTATAGGCAGTATATTAATTATTTTGATGTAGAGAGGGGCCCTTGAACAAAATTGCGGGGGGGCAGAAGACCTTGGCACGCCACTGTACCAAGAGTTTTTTATACTTGGAATAATTTTCCCTCGAGTGTTGTTTGCACAGTCAGCAAATGTATTCAAAAAACCGACTCGATGACTTTTTTAAAGAAAACTAAAAGTTTATTTTTATTGTTTTGTTTGCATGATGTTGTTTGCTAATTAATTATTTAATAATTGTCTTTGTAATTGAACTTTGTAATTTTGAGCTTAATAGGATTCATTCCTCAGCCTTAATTTGTTTGTAATAATAGTAATAATAATAAAATAAAAACAACCCTGATTTCAGTATAAACCATTCTAGTTGCACACATTCCACTTCTTTGATGTTTTTCAACAAAATCATTATTATTTGATTCATTTACAGAATTAAAAGTATTTTTTTCAAAAAATCATTTTGAATCCTTACGTTGTTGATTAACTAATTATTACTTAGTCTTAAATTAAAAAAAAAATCATAAGAAAAAATAAACTATTCAATACCTGAATAATGTATTAATTTTATTTTGTCCCAATATATTATAGTTGTAGATATATTTTCGTTTCCATTATTTGTTTCATTTTTATTACTGTCTTAGCATAAAATATTAATAAAATTGCCACCAAATAAAGTAGTTATTTTGGAATGCATTGTCCATCCTAAAAAGGTTACTGATCATACTCATAGGAAATGAGTACCATTCCTCACTCGTTTAACAATATACTATTAAAATTCTCTAAATTAAAATGTTGAATTATTAAATTGAAAAATCTTACCATCGGCTGTTGCTGGACGGGCATCGGCTGTTGAATTTGCGTCGGTTGGGGGCTGGGTCTCGAAGAAGGTTGCACCGTGGTTGCCACTACAGAACTGCCATTAGTTTCGGGAGAGACCAAACTACTACCACCTCCTAAGGGAGTCGTTGCACTAGTGGGCTTTCGACCGCGGTAGCTCTGAAAGACCCAAACAAACAAAATTATAAATTATTATGACTGACACTTGAATAGGAAAGGTTGTAGTTAAACGTCTTGAGGGTTTATTTTTATAATATTTATTCTCATTATTAGGTGGAATTTGATACCAAAAATTCGTAGGTAGGTACCGACGAATAGCGAGAAAGTAGTACATTTAAAACTGATTTTTTTGGCCTGTTAAGGTAACACGTCAAAACAATTAAATGACTATAATAGTTGGCTGATAATAATAATAATAATATTAATAATGCAATAAATAGACATATTTTAAATTACTTTTCTATGATTTAACAGTACCAAGAATTATTACTATACGTAAATATAAAGTGTTCAGGGTTTTATACTTTTTTATAAGTATTTAAGTATTTTTTGACATTATAATTTGGATGAAAATAAAGATTGTGCTAGAAGATGGTTCCTTACAAAGGATAGATCATTCTGATGCAGGTGAGTTTTCCGTGCAAGGTATGCATTTCGGTTTATTGGAAAAATTAAAATAACCAACCTGTTTACTTTTTTCTAGTTGCGAATGACAATGCCGTAATTGGCCCGGAAACAGTAGGTGAAACAGGTCTAGAGAGTGAAGATATAAATGACGAGCAAAGAACGGGATATTTTGTAGATAATCAGATAGAGACTGAAAATGAGGCAACCGAAACTGAAGAAAAAATTCACGGTTTTTAGGAAAACAAATATTAACACAAGCCATAGATTATGAGAATGATACTGTCATGGATGAATCTAATCAATACGTGCCTGAGGAGCATTTTGAAAATAGTAACGGTGAACCTTTTGATTTAGAAAATCAGAATACTAGAGAAATGAAACTGACACTGTGGAAGACGTAGAAAACAACAATGAAGGATCACCCAAAAAAAAAAGAAACGTGTTTATGTAAAGGAAGATGCAACATACTTGCAAAATAAAAAGAACAGGGAATTTGGTAGGGCTCATCAGAGCAAAAAAAAAGGTAAACAATAAATGGAACTACAATATTAAAAAACCAGAAAAAGAAATGAAAAATGGATGTTTGCAAATTGGGTAAAGCAAACTCCGAAATCATAAAGAAATATCGTCAAGAAATATTTGATAAGTTTTGGAAAATGACTTGGCCTGAAAAGAAGCAATATGCGCTAGGTCTCATTTCTATACAACATGTGAAAAAGCAACGGAATACAACCGAAAATAGAATAAATTATTCGTATAAGTACTACTTGAAATAAAGCAATTTAAAAACTTACAGAGTATGCAAAAAGATGTTCACAAGAACTTTAGGGATATCAGAAAATGTTATATTGCTTTGGTTAGATAAGAATAATAGCATGAAAATCTTTTTCACGTCCCTTTGTAAGATAGAATCACCTTATTGTCGGGCTTCCACTAGCAAATTGTATTTGGTGCCCTCATGGCAAAGCAAAAGAGAATTATTTCGTTTCTATAAAAATAACTGGTGTGTAGAGCAGAATGCACAAGCTGTTAGTATTACATCATTTTGTTCTGTATTCAATGAAATGGGATTATCTCTATAGAGACCAAAAAAAGACCAGTGCGATATCTGCATGGGCTATAAAACTAAAAATATATCTGATGAAACATACCAAGAACATTTGGTCTTAAAGAAGGAAGCTAAAAGCGAACAAAGCAGGGATAAACTCTCTGAGAATGATGTAGTCCTGACAGTAGATTTGCAATCAGTATTACTTGCTCCGAAATCCAAAGTATCACTAATGTATTATAAGACCAAGCTTGCTGTGCACAATTACACTCTTATGGAGCGAAGTTGAGGGTTCTCTAGGCGAAAATAAATTTTCAAGTATACTTACCTATTTTATTGAAACCATGATGTTAATAAAAATTGATAAAAGGTTAGCTAAAATTATAATCTGAAGTGATGGCTGCGTAACCCAGAACAGAAACAATGTGTTGCCCAATGCACTTTTGAATATTGCAATCAAACATAATGTGATTTTACAAAAATTTCTCCACAAAGGACATACCCAAATGGCTGATTCCATGCATTCAGTCATAGAACGTCGTTTGCGAAAACGCGATATCAACGTTCCTGCTGACTATGTCCCATATTGCAGAACAGCACGTCTTAATCCAAGACTTTTGTAAAATATTGTAAATTTTGATGATAAGTTCTACAACTCAATCAGACCAGGACGTAAAACTGGTGACCCAGTTGTTATAGATCTGAAACAAATATGATATAACCCCAGTGGACGCATAGATGTCAGACTTGATACTCTGAGGAATGGCAGCCACTGAATTCGAGGATGAACCACAGCAACACACAACACAACACACAACACGAAGAAAAATCAAAAAAGAAAAGTTTAATCACCTGCATCAGTTGAAAATGGGCTTAGAAAAGGACTACCATGCTTTTTATGACAACATTCCTTATGAATGAACACCTCGTCATCTTTTAAGTCGTCAAGTTTTATTTACTTTTGATTTAATAAATGTTCGATTTTTAAATATTACCATTTTATTTAATACCTTTTCTAAAAACTCACGGCATCCGCCTACAAAACAAAAAGACTAGTTAATTCAAATAGTGACTATTTTTCAAATTTGACAAGAATCGGCGTAACCTTTGGCGTAATCAGTTACTTTCTAATGCAGCTGTTTTAGAAATATCTGGAGTGAATCTATTCGGACCACTGTTTATAAAAAATAAAGAGAATTTATAGATAGCTATTTTACGTGCCCTATATATCGAGGTATTCGTTTGGAATTAGTTTCATCTTTGATAGTTATTTTTTAAGCTTACGAAGATTTTTTTTTATTGAAATTAACGTGTCTCGGCATCAGGGGCCATTGACACAGGTACAATTATAATATTACAAGAGGTTTTACAAAATATATATACTACCTATAGACAAAAGAAAAAACCTAATTCACAAAATAGGGTACAGGAAAATACCTTATACTAATTTAAATTTGATTAAATAAATTCACATCTTTTAAAAAATTAAACAGTTTTCCAAATTCACTAGGATACTAATGCCATTCTTAGCCCGTTGAGTTTTAAGAAGATTTATTTCACGATGCGATGCTATAAATCCAGCGTAATTAATATATAGCGATAATGGTACAAACTTTGTCGGTGCTAGAAATGAGTTTCAAAAATTATATTGGGACAAAATTTCAGCATATAGCACAACAGGGAAGATTACTTGGAAGTTTAACCCTCCTTTTTCTCCGTGGTGGGGAGAATAGTGGGAAAAATTGATCGATTTAGTAAAGAGTTTAAAAAACTTTTAGATCGAATTTTGCTAACTTATGAAGAGTTTGTGCTTCAGTTTTGTGTATTAAGCTATTATTAACTCTCGTTCACCCACCAGAAACATCATTACGTATCTTTGACGCCTGCAATGGTTATGTAAGATATAAATAATATTATGGTCTGATATTGATGAAATAGAAGAGAATAGTTTGAAGACAAGGTGTAGAAGAGAAGTCAATGAAAGACTTAAGGGAAAGATTTAGATCACAATATTTGGATCAGCTGGTAGCTAGAAATAAAAAGAAAGACCCGTCGAAGACTATTAAAGTTAGTAGAAAACGAAAACGATAATAGATTAGGTTAACCTTTAGCAAAAGTTTATGCAATGTTTCTAGGAAAAAGACGGTGAGAATAGATTAATACGTTTATGAACGGCAAAAGATCCTCTAGAAGTAACCGATGTTGAAGATATTTTTTTGTTGAAAACGAAATACACTACATTAATTTGAAAATTTAAATTTAATTCAATCCCGAAGATAGACGATCGATCTTGATGATAACCGAATCGACATCAACAAAGAACGAAACCAAATTCAAATTATGAGAAGAGAAGAAAGAAAAGTCAAGAAACCTTAGCAATATAGTATCCTTAAATTTTACAATTCTTACTTCTTTAGGTGGAAGAATGTTCCATATTATTTTATATTTTTTGATAAATATCAAGACAATTATTAAGTATTTTTGACATTTATCATTTGGGCAGAAATAAAGATTATATTTAAAGATATCCCCATTAGTCTTTTCCTATACGAATTTAAATCAAAGTCTTTAAATTTTATTATGGAATTTTATTCAAAAACGAACTAGGTATGCCCGATTGACCAGAAAATAGCCTTCAATGCCCTCTCAGGTGTATAGAGGCTGGCATACATCACTGAGAAGTACCTACTCCGACACCCTATATGGAAATCACTCTAAACCTCCTACTCCTTAACTTAGTCATAAAGAGGGAGGCCAGAATGAGTGCATACAGGCTGGAACTGTCCAAATAGGAAATAATAAACATGAAGTTAAACCCAAATGCCATATCACTGCTTCATTGGGAAAACATACTACTTTATTTCAGGCTAAAAACATGCAATCTAATTGTGTGTACGAGAGGCATTTGGTTCAAACATAATCAAGTCAAACCTGGTCTGGAAATGCCTTGGAATACTTAATGATCGGGCAACCCACAATATACTAGTGTGGTGTGGATACAACAGATCATCTTCATTATTTTAGGCAGCCAAGCAGCCTTAAATGCCCTTGTCCAAACATAATTAAGTCAAAGCTGGTCTGGAACTGTCTTGGAATATTTAATGATCTGGCAACCCCCAATAAGGTATTAGCGTGGATTAAACAAACCATCTTCAATATCTCATATAGCCAAGCAATCCCAAAGGCCCTTGGTTCAAACATAATCAAGTCAAAGCTGGTCTGGAACTGCCTTGGAAACTTAATGATCTGACAACCCACAATAAGGTACACAAGAAACCGCGAAGCTCATGCTAGGCGGCGACTCGCCCTTTCTGACCTAAAACCAGAAAAAACACTCCAGGAAAACTTGGTAGGAAACTTACTAATGTAACCAAAGACACAGGACTATTTTAAAGAGTACCAGAATACGGGGAGAGAGAGCATGGAAATACAATAGACTCAAGAGGCCGCAGTGTTCTAGGCTAGTGGTCGGCAAACTCATTAGTCAACAGAGCCAAATAGCGAGAGTAAAACGAGTGAAATTTTGTTTAAGAGCCAAATTTTTTAAACTTAAACTATATAGGTAGGTATACATTGTTAACTTAATTAGGGTACTGCTAAGCTGACCATTGCTAAAATCGTCCTCAATCAGATTGGAGTACTTTCGCTGAGGCCGATCTTTTTCAGCTCTCTCCACACTCGTCTTGTTAACTTGTTTCGTCTATATCTTATCTTTCATTCTCTTTATATGGATTAGGAAAAAATACGAGCCATAAGCTATAGGCATTGCATCTCTATATTTTGTGTACAACGACTACCACCTCTTCTATGACCTGCGAGCGTGCGAGCTCATAGAAGGTTCCGAATTACTAATGCATAAACTATTGTAGGGTATCGTTCTCTCCTATTAAATAAATACAATAATTACGTAATTATCTGACTCTGGAATTAGGAAATATATGCAAGTGAAAAATAACTTGATTTTGAATTAAATCTTTTTTGACCATTAGGTTTACCATCAATGAAAAAGGGCCAATAATGTGGTCCCTTAAAATATCAGTGCAAACATTTAATTTCTGAGGATACTGTGTGCAAGTCGGAATATTTAAATGTTTATTTTTCGAGCATAATGTCTCTGGATTGTTGATTGTTAAATGAAAAAGAAGACTTGTTGGTAAATACCAACTTATTTTAAAAAGTCTTTATTATAACTCAAGATCTGGCCGATTCGTCAGAATTTCATAAAACACTACAAAAATTAAAAAAATTAAGCTATATTTATTGTTACAAGTAATCAGTATGTTTATCTCGGTGTACCTACACTGTATGGCTCGTATACTTTTTTTCTAACCTGTATATGCAAACTATCTTTCTCATTATTTGAAACTACATCTTCTTTCACTCCACAATGCTTTCTTAAAATTAACATAATACAAACTTTATATCATTATTAATAACAATACACTACAAAATTCTAGTCTTTCTTGCGGGGGGCCACGTGCTCAGGAGTAATATATTGTACGATACACGTTGATATTTAATCTTTATGGAAATGTTTTTTAATAAGTCGCTTCCGAGTAGGTACTCGCCTAAAGATAAAGACACAAATTCCAACTAAGTATGAAAAAAGACAAACAAGAAAACCAGCCATCACGAAGTTTCAATCGTACTGTATATGTGATCCCGCACGTTGCAGTTTGTGTCAAAGGGCCAAAGAGCCGCATGTGGATCGCGAGCCGCGGTTTGCCGACCCCTGTTCTAGACTAAATGTATAACCTTACCCGCTTATAACGGATAAAAATAAAAAGATTTTTCACTCAGTATTTTGTTCATTATTCATCCCATCCTCGTATTTTTAATTTCACTCAAAATAATGAGATTACTGAAATCTTTCCTCGATAATTATTATTATTTCTACACGAACCAAACAAAAATATTCTACCTATTTTATCTGTAATGTAGACCATTATCGAACAGGAACAATATTTACATTTATTTGATAAGGTTCAATGCCTTGTTAGTCACGTACATTTTGTTTATGTTGAAACATTAAATATAAAGGAATTAAATTTATCGTAAATTTTATATTTTTTATTAATATTAAAAAAAAATGTAGGTAGATAAGATAATTTTGAAAATATAAAAATAGGCTTACCTATATATTTTAAATATAAAAAATATATTATATTTAAGTATGCTTTTTCTTTCTATTACTCTCTGCAAAAACAAATTACCTATAAATTGCTTTATAAAAAATGTTAAAATAAAACTGGATACTTAAAATAAGAAAAAGAATTGACAAACAATTTGAAGATATAATAATTATCTAATTTAGATAATGTGTTTAGAAAGTTTTAAAACTAGTTATAAAAAAATATTAAATAATTATAAGTAGTACATAATCCAATTTAAACTACTTACACTTATTAATGTCTAAATATTACAACACGTGCTTTTTAAAACTATATTTATACTTTGCGGGAGTTACTTTAAAAATATACACAAAAAGTCATTTTTATGTATATACCTATATGTTTATAATAAATACAAGATTATATAATATTTTTCTACCTACTTTACCTACCGAAAGTTACACCTTGAATCTATTTCAAGGTAAATTCTAAATGAAAGCACAGGTTAAAGTTAGTAGATATTTACTTTTAACCGATACGGATGATATAATAAACTTATTTTTAGATTTTTTATTATTGTTTCATATTTATATTTTATTATAATGAACACATTTATTTATTATAACTAAAACTAGTCAACCAAACACGTACCGCACTACGAGAAATGATACTAACATTTCCGATTCCCCCACCCACCGCTGGTTTAATTATACAACAAGTCATTTAACATACTTTTCTTTTTCAGTGTTCAATATCAGGTGCATTCTGACTTCGTTCAAAACTGAACGTACGACGACGATCATTTCGAATGCACCGGATAGCCTCGACGTGTGACGAAGTATCCTCGATTTTTACATCGTTATCATATAAATATCACAATATCGATTTAATATTTATCTACTGAAGTTAATTTAGGTTTGTTGTTTGTTGGGTATTACGAATAGGAACATGATGTTATGTTTGTTTATATAAGTGAATTTAATCACTTTCACAGATTATCCAACATATTATTACACGTTGATGTTTGTGTGTATAACTGGTTGCCGACTTGTAGTGCATGAAAAACGAATTAGTAGGTAATGCCGTTGTTGTTGCGGTTTGTTAGGAAATATTTTTTTTTAGTGAAGTGGATGATGTATTGACGTAATATTACGGTAGAATCTGAGGTGGAATTAGTTTATTTTTCGTTATTTTGTTTTTCGTTATATGAAAATAGTTTTTAACTGTTCCTTGAAGAAAAGTTTAAAATAATGCCTAACCAACAAATTAAAAGTTCAAAAAGGTAAATCAAACGAGGGTGGTCCTTAGGATCTCACAAGAATGAGATCCTAAGGACCACCCTCGTTTGATTTACCTTTTTGAACTTATAACTCACACATGGCTACCACCTTCAACTTTAATAAATTAAAAATTGTTTGCTAAATGTGTATTATATTTTAATAATTAAACTTAAGATACTTGTGATACAAATTATGTGCAGTTGTTTATAAGAAAAAAAATACATAAAAATGGGTTTCTTAAGTTTTTAGTGAATGTCCTTACATAGAAATGGCGCGAATTCGGAGGGAATCTTCTTTACCATTTTGTAGAATTATCTTTTACTAGGTTAAATTTAAATATGACAGTTCAGAGCAATCTGTCAATCAATTAGTGTGCGCCAAAGTGAAAGTGTCGTGTAATTTTGTAAACAATGTTAAAAACGTTGAGAGCAGTTGTTATAAAGTATTTTCAACTGGTTTCAATACTTTTGGTATCCACTTCCTCATTTTCAAGAGTTAAAAACTGGGTTGTCGAATTTATGCATGGTCGTATGAGCCCAAATGATGATCCCGCAGTGGATGCCCAAAAACTGCTAGGGGAAATGTGCCTGAGTTGGCATACTGGTATTTTCTCGGCTTCTGAAAAATTTGCGGCGCAATTAACCTTCTCCTTCTGTTAATCTATTTTATACGAGTCGGCAAATTTGTTTGTGACTTCCTCCGATTATAAACAAAGATATTAATTAACATATTGCTATTTTGAAGGTAAGACATTTTTAATTGACTCTTATAACTTGCTACAAAACATAAACCTACTAATATTTTTTTTAAATTTTAACAAACGTAAATCTATTTTGTATACCTAACCTTAAAATTCTACGGTATAACCGTTGACATTTTGTATTGTGCTTGTGAGTAAATTGGTCTTATTTTTCAAAAAGTATTTTGGGACGAGTTGGCATACCATAGTTTCGGGCTAGTTGGCATAGTATGCCAACTCGCCCTTAAGTAACAAAATGAATTATCTGGTTTGTTGTTGCAGGTTTAAGTAAAAAATGGTTGGAAAATACCAAAGAAAAGGTAATCGTCTACAATGGGACGAAGATAACATGAAAGCAGCAATAAGAGCTGTTAAATCTGGAACAACGGGCTGGTTGTTAGCATCCAAAACCTACAGTGTTTTGGTACATTACGACGACGCTGTCAGGGAACGAATAAATTTAGTGTAGGAGCAGAAAAGAACTACCTATAAAAGATCAACGTTTGATAAGACTATGAAAAGTCACCTCGTTGATAGGGTTGCCACATTTCCGGAAGTGAAAAGCGTGGCAACCGTGACGATAGAGCATTTTTATATAATCAGGGCCATTTTTTGTGAACATTTCTAAAAAAAAAAGTCAGCTTATTTTTCGTAAAAACAAGGGTCTTTTTCCCGGGTATTTCGTATAAATCCGATTCCTGTGCGGCTTTTAAAAAGCGTGGAATTTGTATAAAAAGCGTACAGGCAAGTCAAAAAGCGTGGCAATCAAGCCAAAAGCATGACGTCGGCAACCCTACTCGTTGACCATATTAAAAACATGGAAGCTAGGTTCTTTGGATTTACGACTTTAGAGGTACGCAAACTTGCATATGATATGGCAGTCCAAAATATTAAACGCTCGTTTAATTCTCAGAAGAAGATGGCCGGCTGGGATTGGTTAAAGGGGTTTACGAAGCGCAATCCGACTATTTCACTTAGGTTACCCGAGTCAACCTCTTTTGCCAGAGCACGAGCGTTTAATAGAGTAGAAATAGAAAAATATTTTGAACAGTTGGAAAAAGCTCTCGAGCAAGTTAACTATAACTCGACAAAAATTTGGAATATGGATGAAAGTGGCCTTAGTACAGTTGCTTCAAAAAATTATAAGGTTTATGCAACTAAAGGAAAAAAGCAAGTTGGAGTATTAAGTAGTGCAGAACGTGGACAGCATTTAACAGTCGTTTGCGCAATGAGCGCTTCCGGGTCTTATTTACCGCCTTGTTTTATACTTCCGCGCAAAAACATGAAAAACGAATTATTGGACGATTCTCCTCCTCCTAGTTCAATTGGTTTTGCCCAGGAGAATGGATGGACAACATCCGAATTTTTTTTAAAGTGGCTTAAATTTTTTGATGAAACTGTAAAACCTACAGAAATTGAAAAAGTGTTGCTGGTACTAGATGGGCATACAAGCAACAAATCCTTAGAGGCTTAGGTTTATGCAAAAAGTAAAGGCATTGTCTTATTTTGTTTACCACCGCACTGCCATTAGATGTCACATTCTTTGGGCCACTCTCCACCTACTACTATCAAGAAATTACTAGATGGTTAAAACAGAATCCTGGAAGGGTGGTCACTCATTTTCAGGTAGGAAAGCTTCTTAAATCTGCCTACCAGAAAGCAGCTACTATGAACAATGCTGAAAAAGGGTTTGCTAAAACGGGTATATACCCTTGATTAGATTAGATTAAGAGCTAGACGTTACTTGTCCTTGTCCACCGCGACCTTTTCAGATCTATTGTGGGACTCCGCTTGTTCTAGAGTATGTCGTCTAGCCTGATCTTTTTTATTAGACAGTGACTCCCGCATGTAGTTACATGCATTTGGCTTTTCTTCGCCCAATGTTAGAAACCTCATTCCAGCCAGGCCTTCACATTGGCACAGGACGTGGAATGATGTTTCCTCTTCTTATTCACAGAACCTGCACAAAGTTGCTTCTTCTGCTGGATGTGCTTTTTGAGGCGACAGTGTCCAGTAAGAAGGACTACTGTTATCCTAACGATTTGACGCTTTTGATCCAGTAGGTATTTCGTGAACTTGGCTGATGGTTCCTTGATGAACTGTTTGGCCTGTCTCAGTCTTGGATAGTTGTTCCACCATCTATATTGGCAATAGTTTTGACTTATACTTGCTGATTTCTCGTGCACAGTGTTGTATGGCCATTAGTTCAGCCTGGAATACTGTTGCATATTTTTCTAAACTCAGCGAAATCGTTGTTTTCGACTTGGGTCCATAGACTCCAGCACCGGCTCCTTCCTTGGTTTTTGAACCGTCCATGAAATAATTAGAAAAATACAAAATGTGATATCGAAGACAAATGTAATCATTTTCTAGTGCTTTATACGAGGTTGGATCAATAAGCACCCGTGTTTGAAGGCAGGTGGCGTTGCTGAGGGAAGTTGGCATTACT